TTAGACTCTATACTGTATATACTCAGGGCAGATCTGCTTAGACTCTATACTGTATATACTCAGGGCAGATCTGCTTAGACTCTATACTGTATATACTCAGGGTAGATCTGTTTAGACTCCATGCTGTATATAGTCAGGGCAGATCTGCTTAGACTCTATACTGTGTATATTCAGGGTAGATCTCCCATGTTCCCTGGTGAATAGATCCCTCCTTGATTTAAGTTTTCTGTTCCCCCGTGTTCCCTTGTGAAAGGTCTCCTTACTCTCAGCGTCCACGTTCATACAAATGAGCAGCTCCAAATTCATTTGACTGTAAAGAGGGGGTTTCTCACGGTGAAAGGAAAGGGTTTCTCAGACTCCTTAAACGTGACATGTAAGGACATAAAATTAGAAAAAAATGTGCTGAAACAGCACAGTTTCTATGAGGGGTAGACATGAACTGTGTCTCCAATTACGTGGAGCGAACCCAAATACAAACTGCCATCATTGTCTAAGATGAGCAGAAAGTTGCGGAAGCGAAGACGGAGCGGATGTGGCGAGGGCCAGCCTGGTGCCGGGACACTGGGACTTCAAAGTGACAGGGTGCAGCCAAGAGCAGCCAATCTCGGAGAGCAAGAGGGAAGGCGGGTGAAAGGCGGCCTGTGTCCGAGAAGGATACTCTGGCAGAGGAGCAGGAGAGCAGATGGCGGGGGGCTGACAGACACGAGCACGGCGATGAGAGAGGAGCTGGGGGCCGCGGGACACGCCGGGCTTCCCAAGGCAATCAGGCCCCAGAATTTCAACCTGGGATTTGATTTGAGGATAAGGAGGATGGACCCTGCTGGTCAAAGCCGGAACGTCGGAATGACTAACTGCCAAGGGAACGATGGCATGCACCCTTATCAAGTGAAAAGCCATCGTTTTGTCAATATGGCATCAATAGTGCACATTTATACAGCTACTCAATGAATGCGATTTGTTTATATAATAAAAGTCCGGTGCTTTCTCTATTTTATTTGCACAAATTCCATCTGCTAATTTATTATTATTATTTGAAATAATATACATCTATTTTTTTTAATATTCCATAATATTCTCTTTGTCAGAACATTTTATTTGTGTGCTGTATACATTTTAATTTGTTTCCCCCGTGATTATTTTGTTCGCACTATGTCTTTGCACTTTGTCTGTTTTGCACTACCGTATATGTGTGTTTGTCTGTGCTATACAGTACGTACCTCACTGCTGTTTGCACAAGAATGTCCCCTCGGGATCCATAAAGTTTATATTAACTTATAAGTCAGGGGAAAAATCTCACTAAGATTCTGAAGCACACATGTTCTAGACAATAAACCCAGAAGTTTGTAAAAGACTTTGATGAACAGCTTCTCCCTTGTCATCTTTAAAGTACGTGGGTATCCCATCGAGACGAGCTCCTGTGGGAAGACCTCGGGAACAAGCAGAGGACTAATGTCACCTCTTTCCACAAGCACATCAAAACTTTTGCGTGCGTTCCTGCTTAAAATATCTGCGGCAGTAAGCCGCTCTCTCCCTGTGGAATCTTCCAGAAGGCCGTGGATCTGACATGCGAGCATTAATACCGCGCTAATCGCTCTGTTGAAAGGGGGGGCTTCAGAGGGAATAAAACCGCGGCAGAGGTGTTGATGCCCAGTGTTATCACAAGCCGACATAAAAAACGCGAGGGGATCAGTGTCTCAAGGCCTGATGGAAAAGCAGAAGAATGTGGATGGGGAAAGGAATCTTACTGCTGAGACTTTACTTTACCTTTTAGTACAGAAGGGCTGGCTGATTGAACCTGAGTAAATGCTCCCCACTGAGTATAGTACGAAAAGTCATCTTCCACACCCTCATACTACTAAAGAGGGTGTAAGTGCTTCTTTCATGGTGACTTTCTCCTCGTTGAGCCTCAGTGAGGCAGGCATCAGCATGTAGGACATTAAATCAGCTATTCCTCCTATCTTCATTAAGCACATGAGACCTCATAAATGAAAATGTGGCTTTGAGGCAGGCGAGTAACGAGGTAGAGAGCAGGTAACGAAGGAGAAAAGGGGATGAATAAGAAAGTGATCGAGGGCACCAGTGTGTCTCAGCTGTAGGGACATCAATCATTATTATGGTTACACTTCCACTTTAATGTTATTTTGAATGTCTGGGTCCTGTTTACTCAGATGTCTGTAGTCATCCATAGCGGTGTTTGTTTACTTTACTGTTTTGCTCATTTCCCAAAAATATGCGAGGCTCTCCTTGCCTGAATCTGCAAACCAGGATGATGGTATTAAGCACCTGTTGGGTTTGGTTTGGCTGAGAGTGTGTGCAGGTGAGCTAGCTGCCTTGGAGGTGGGGTAGGGAGTAAGGGAGGGAGCGAGAGAGGAGGAGACAGAGCTGGGGGGGGGTAGAGGGGAGCAGCGCTGGAGGCCAGCATTCCTCCCCTTACATGCGGGAAGTCCAAGGAGCCTAACTGCTTCTCCAGATGTGCTTTGATGGGACGCCTGGACTGCAGGCTGGACTCCACAAGCCGAGGTGAGCGCTCCGTCAGTCCACCCTCCGACCCAGATTGGCGTGCTTGGGTCCAGAGCAGCACGGCCCCGACATCCTGCAGACTGGAGCTGACCCTATACCCACGCGGGACACTAACAAGTAGCATCGCCCTCTGCTGCCTCCAGAAAGTGCCTTCGCTTCACCGTAAGCTACTAGGTAAGACGTGATGTTCGGCAAACCAACTTTTACCAGCTGCCACTTTACCGTTTATATAAATAATGTCTCCAAAATTTTGTTTTTGGTTTTGTGACTGGTTATAATTATTAAGCAATTTATCTTATCTAACTGGAAGAGATACACTATATTGTTGCTACTTCAGACAGGTTAGTGTGAAGAAGTAAAGACTTCTAATGTATCCGTACATCTATTGTTAAATTCCAAAATGGTGTTTCAAATGAATAAATATTAATGAATAAATATTAGTATTAAGTATTAATCAACTGATGCAAATATCATAACTTAGTGGAAACTTTATTACTTTTTCAAGGCACAATTTAATTGACAAAATAAATTAAGTTTATTCCATAAAAAGATAAATGCAGCTCGTGTAATGAGCAAACCACATGTCAGCGCACAAAATTCTCTCGTTGAAGGAAAGTTTTATTCTGTGGTTTTCAGTACATGGGCTTATGTCCAAAACTGAGGTCTGCTCTGTTTCGAGCCTGTCCTTATCGCTCAGGTTTGTAAAGGAAGCCTTTGAAAGCCAGCGGGGGCGCATCAGCTGCCAGAGATCACTCAGAAAACAGAAAAAACAGGAGCAGATTACAGAAAAGAACCATATGTTCATCAACATGTTACACGTGTGTGTGGCTGTGTTTCAAATCAGGGGGCTGGAGCAGGATCCCGTCCTGAGTCGCGGGTCATGTGAAGTTTGTTGAGGATGCCATTGGAGCAGATGGTTGTGATTCGGGAATACCGGGAAAAGCCGTTCCCTCCTGTTTGAGCGCGGAGCTTGTTAAAAGTCACGGTTAGCCTGGGCAGCCCTTAGTGATGATCTGCCCTATGTAGTCTGTGGAAAACTCTGCCTGGCTCCAGCTACGGTACGCCATGTCCTCAGGGGGGCACTGGGAAGAGGGTGGGTGAGGTATTAATGGCTCTGGAGCATGAGAAGACTAAACACATATACAGACAGGCACACTCTGAGAGTCTCTCTCTCTCTCTGTCACGCAAACACCAAGCATACAGATGGATAAACCAAAACTCCACATGGAGGAAGGCCTAATCACTATCAGGCTTCACTGAAAACTGTTTTGACTGAACTTTCTAGAGGACAGATTCTTCTGCAACAGAACTGGAGACCTGCCTCATTCTTTTCTAGCTCTTGAGGGGCCAGGTCTGGAAAAGCAACATTTCCAAGCAGATAAGCAGAGAAAGTCACGCAACATTTCTCAGCAGCATGGTGGAAACCTGCAAAGACCACATGTCACATCAGGTCAGACCTCCAGGGTGAGAATGAGATGGCAGGGAACCCTGGTCCATCGAGGACCTGTGGGTGCTCATTGAACTAACAAAGCTGTTCAAGGTCAACATCTAAATTCACAGGGAAGTTAATCACCAGCAGGAAGTTAATCCAAACACTACATTTCTCCATGAAACACCTTACATGAATTTCATTTTTATGAAGTATGTTTTTCCAAGAGTTAGTTGTACTGATGTCTCTTTTTCTGCCTGAATTGATTAGACATTAAATTTGAACTGGAGCCACACTGAGCCAAAACCATTTGGTCCATTCGGCGTGAATCACATCAGCCCTCCCTGTGATTTGCATCAATGTTGGGTTAATCTCACAGTTGGGCTGGGTGAGGGGCTTCATCCGCACCTCCTTCTCGTTATTTTGACTGGACCGAAGCAGTTGTTACTCTGCCTTCCACCTTTAAAATGATTCCCTCTCTGCTGTGAGCTGAAGCCCTATGAAGTCGGATCATTATCCATACAGTCTACCCTCCAGGGAAATATTTCAGCTCCAAGGAAGAGCTTTACTTGTCATCGGCGTCGTAAAGATTTTTAAATATTATTATTTTGAAAGCCAGAGGCATGCGTGTGCAGGCAGGACGCGGAATTAAGGTCACGTATTTTAGGAGGTAAATATTCCAGCTGCGATTTGTCTTGCCTGGATTCAGTGGCTTGGAGCACAGGACCTAAAACAACACTTCCTCTGGGGGCCCCAGGAACAGGTGTGCCAGACCAGAGTCCTGAGAAGTGGGGGGGGGCAGGTTTCTGACAACACTTGAAACTAACTGCCGAAAAGCTTACAGATGAAGATTGATGCATCCAATACAACTGGCACCAGCACAGAGCTAGAGAATGTAGTTCAAAGGAAGGAGCTGAAGGGCATCTAGCGGGAAGATTTCGAAATTTTACTGAAATCCTTGAAATTGCTGTTAGACCTACAAAAGAAACTAAACAATAAACAGTTGCAGCAGTTACTGCGGAATAAATGTACATTATTAAGAACCCCCCCCCCCCCTCTGCCCAGCCTCAGCGAGCCTGCAGCCTATCCCAGGAGGTACTGGGCACAAGTCAGGAGGTACCCTAGATGGTATACAAGGCCTCCTTAACAGACCTCCTTCACTCTGCAAAGTAAAACGTGCACATGCTACAATAATCAAATACATTTGGTAGCATGGAGCAACATGGGATGCAGATCAGAACTTGTACGCAAAGTGGCTAATTTAAATCCCACCTGGGCGCCTCATGTTGCAGCCATGAGTCAAATGATGTACCTGGTTATTACTTTGTGGGTCAATTTGGCCTATTTCAGGTCATAACCTGGCAGAGCTACAAAATTATCTCTTCATTTAATAAAATTAGATCATGAACTCCACCGGAGTATTTGGATTCTATAGTGTTTTGTGCAGACTTGCGCATACAAAGAGGATCTTGCAGGTAATTTTTACCTGCAGCCTTCTGGGGTGTTTAAAATTCAGAGCATGTCTTCTATGGCACTTTAATTGCTGAATTCATTTGAATTTGGAGTGGTTCTACTTGAGGTTTCTCTTTGTGCATCAGTCCACTCATGGACTGACAGTCGTTTCAGTATGATCCCCTTCAGGATGGTTACTGCAACAAAGACGACGTAGACTGTCAACTTACGATTCAATTAAAGATGAGCTGCTGGCTTCATTTTCTCACCTTTGTAGTTATGTATATATGATAAGGCAAATAATTTGAAGTCTTTTTACAGCTTGGATGGTTTTCAAGATTCAAAACTTTATTGTCATATGTGCAAAATACAGTGTACAAAGTACAATGAAATCCTTAATTGAATGCCTTCTCCACAAACTACAGACAATTAACAGGACAGTGCAACGTATGACACGAAATACAAAATACTATGTATTACAAGGTATCTAACAAAATATAATTCAGCACGAGGTACACTGTAAAAAATGTCCGTGAAATTAACTGAGAAATTCTGTAAAATAGCGACATAAAAAAACTGTAAAAGGAAAAACAATAGAGCAGCGTATATTTCACATTAAGATTTTGTAAAATACTTAACAAAAAACAACTGTTAATTTTTCAGTAAAAATATGTTTTTTAAAAAAAAAATTTGGGTAGAGTTAACAAATTACTGTAGTTTAAACGCAAACAAACTGTAATATAAAAACCAGTACAATACAGTTAAAATTACACCATAACGGTGTGAAAATAATATTTTTTTTAATCAGGTCAATTTTTTCAGGTTTATACTGAAAGAAACCGTGTTACATTTTACAAATTAATATTCTGTGCTTTACAGATGAGAAACAGTAAAACTTTAAATGATATATCAACACTTGCTTTTTGCTACGTGCGTTACGAACCAACAAGAAATAGTCCATACAACTCAGGATTTCTGGTTTGTCAGACAGCTTTTGACGGTACATTTGGGGCTACCGTCAGAACTTCACCTCATGGCAACACCTCTGGTCCGTTGATAAGAAGGTATTTTTCCACTGAGGTGATAAAAAATACTGCAGCACCGGCGGGGGTCATGTCCCAGCATGCCCCGCGCGCATTTGTAAATAGCCCTTGTATTGTTGTTGTTATTGCTAATGGTTATATTTCCTTATTGTCGCGTGTATTTACCTGTGTCTTATGTGTACCCTGTCCGATCCTCGTGTGTAATTAGCGTCCGTAAATCTCCCACCGTGTATGCGTCTTACAGTTGAGCGTCTGACAACCTCGTGTTTCCTGTATATAAGTGGTGCGGTACTCCTTGGGTGCCTGATGTAGTTCTTTTCTGGACTACTAATAAAGAGCGTGTTACCTCGGCAAGAAAGTGTTGGCAGCTGTGGTTACCAGAGTAATTCTGTAAATAAATTCGTTAAGAATGTAAACAGCTTTTTAACTTTTACATAGTTAATTTGTAGATTCAACATCTTCTTTCTGTTAATTTAGCAGAGCCATGCTGCTGTTGTACCAGTTATTTCAGTATAATTTACATCTAATCGTTGTTTATTTTACATTTAAATCAAGTAAACTTTACATGTAGTTGGTGGTTGTTTTACATTGAAATCCAGTACAATTTATAGATGTTTCTGTAAAGTTGTTTACACGTGTACAGTATTTTTTACAGAATAATTCTGGCAACCACAGCTGCCAGCTTTTTTCCGTAAAAACAACGGGATTTTTTTTACAGTGTAGTAAAGTGATATGTAGCAGAGCGAAGTAGCAATTCAAAGTGGGACTGTGAGTAGAATGTAGAAAATGCTGCAGCAGTATTACAGAATCACCAATAAAATATGTATACATGGTGCTTTGCTTGTGTTCTTGAAAATTCGATAAACGTCACTAACGTTTATAATTGACAACTCATGGAGGCAGTGAGTATAAAACATTTAAGTCAGCCTACCATGTCACATACTGCTGCTTTGGTAGGAGATAAGCACTCTCTCTCAGAGGAAGCTTCAAGTGCCAGTGAAGAACGGGACAGCCCCGCAGCCTCAGCGTCCTTTTAAAAAGGGGATGTTGTGACTAAACAAGGCAGAAAGACGTGTGCGGTGTGACTGTACTTCTGCAGTCTAAAGTCACGCAACATCTCAAGTGCTGGTCACATTCCTAAAAAAAACACGGGGCCTCTACAAATAATTATATATTAATAAACTGGATTGTACCAACAGAAAGATGTTAGATATGATAGAAATGATATATCCCATCCCAAATTGTATCTGATCCATACTTTTTTAACTGGGGTGATCGCTTTGTGAACTTTTATGCTGGTGCACTGGTGCAAACTGGTGAATCTTACCATTCCTCACTTAGAGGTTTGTTGAGATTAAGTTGACTTTACCAGTTGTTGGATTTTTACAGCTGTGGATAAATTTCATATCATATCCAGGATGTCTCATTTGAAAAGCTCTGGTAGAGATCCAGCCTCTCAAATCATAAAACCATTTGTAGGATCACTGCCCCCTATTGTCAGAACGCACCAAACAAAACTGGTTTATGATCTTTGAAATGCAAGGTGAAATTTATCTGAATATACAGTTTTAATCATCTTAAGAATTTTAATAATTTTCCAGAATAATAAGACAGTAAATTCTATCAAAAACAGCACCTGTTACAAGGTGTAAATGAAAAAAAATCATCATACTAATCATAATCATAATAATTAACATTGATAATTGGCAATCATGTATGCAGTGGGGTGTGTCATTCCAGGTGCGATGATGTCGTAAATGTGACTGAGAAATGATGGCTCCCACATGCGTTTCCATTGGCTGGGCAGCCGTGGCACTACTCACCTCGCTATTGGCCACCTCCCTCGCCCTGCACCCCTGTCCAAGGTCCTGCAACTGCCCCGGACCACGAGAGGTACACTGTACCTTCCGCCATCTCCTGTCCATCCCACCCAGCTTACCTGAGGACACAGAACGCATCAATTTGGGGTAGGCCACACCTCCTTCACAACGCCGTCCAATCAGGGCTGACTTTAAAGTACAGTTTAGGGTTACCTGTGGATAAAATATTTCACATACTGAAATGGATGGTTTTTATATCTGTAAACAGAAACAGGTTCTGAGACCGACTTTACTCTTAGTTACATCAATGGCTGCCAAACATGCCACCAAGGGGGGATATCCGGCCTCTCCCTGTAAAAGAGAAACCATTTTGCCAATCATCCATGACGAAGTTAGCTAATAAAGTCATCGGTGAGGAAGTCTTCACTCTTTTCACTGCCAGACCGTAGGGCCACACCCTGCCTGTGAAGCTCTGCCCAATCACGCTCAGAGGTTGAAGTGTACAGCCTGTACCGCTGAAGGGGAAAAGACTGCACTCCTGTATCCAGGGTGGGGTGTTTAATAATGCTCACTTAATCTTCGAGCTACTCTGGCTTCCAGCCACACCCTTCACTTAACCGCATTTGGCCCTCCCAGTTCAGGCAGGTCCACACTCTTATGGGTTGCTGTTTTTATTGAAAGTTCTAATGTTTACAGTATAGTAATGCAGCCAGTGCTGTGTCACATAATTAACGTTTATAGATCTGACATGAGGCAAAAAGACTGTAGCTGACTGCCCCACACTGTATATGTGTCAAAGGAGTTTGAAAGAAAGACACATGATTATTCTGCCACATTAATGCATACAGTGCAATGATAGTGTTAGTCATAATCTACAATGCAGGTCCTGAAAGTGCCCAGTTCAGTGTGTTACCATAATTTACAATGGGGGGTCCTGAAAGGGCACAGGTCACTGAGTTATCCATAATCTAAGGTGAAGGTTCTTAAAGAGCACAGGTCAGTACATTACCATAATTTACAGTTCTGGTCTTGAAAGGGGACAGGTCACCGCATTACCATAATCTACTGTGCAGGTCCTGAAAGGGCACAACTCTATAGTGGGTTCTCTATAATGGATGGCTCATATTCTTAAACGGAAAAATTCAGTGTGCTATCCATAATTCATGGTGCAGGTCCCGAAAGGGTGACACACTGCCATTCTCATGCACGTGAGGTAACAGCCCTCTGCCCACAGCTATAACAGCATCCAGCTGGTAGGTGCTTCTGACTTCACCAAGCTCCCACGCGTTGAGATGCTCATGCTCCACGGAAATGACATCGTGTCTGTATCTTCTGGAGCCTTCTATAATCTGCGTTCACTACAGGTATGGCCAGCAGACGAGTACGAACAGTGCCAGAAAAACTTCTGTTCATGGTGCATGTAAATCTTACTACATAAACTGCCTTAGCTGTCCATGAGTATGTTAATTGCAATGCCAATGTATTAATCAAATGTAAATGATACCTGTAATTTTATACACCAGTACTTCCCATCCCAGTTAACGGGGACTCTCCATATAGTCCTTGTCTTTGGTCCCTGCCAACTCCCAGACTTGGTCCCTGAGGACTGGCTTGAAAAACACTGTTATACACCATAACCTCACTATAGGTAATGGTGTTGAAGTGGGTTGGGGTTAAGGATCTGTGCCTGTGTCCACCAGGTGAAGAGCTCAAAAACTGTAGATGGCAGAATAATCCTATAACTCATGGGCCTTTAGCAAGGCCCTTAACACCTGGTGCTGAGTCTCTGATGCAGAGCAAAACAGAACATGTGAAAACCACCCAGTTTCCCCATGTAAAAATATAATACTAGTGCTGAATTTTATTTAAAATGATTGAAATAAAATTTATTTAAAATGTACGGTGTCCAGTTCAGTGATTGTTTTATTACTTTGTATTCTGTTACTGATGTAGTGCAGTTTCTCACCTATGAGAGGTTTGTATTATAACTGAGACCAATGTCACATTTTTTTTTTACTTGTGGAGTGATGGGGACTGTTTTACAGCAATCGAAATACACATGATCTGGATGTGAATAATGTGCGGCCCTGCCTAAACTTGCTGTGCCCCCCACCCCCACTCTAGATGCTGAAGCTGAGCTATAATAAGCTGAAGCGCCTAGACCCCGGCATGTTCTGGGGGCTGTCGGGCCTGGTGCGGCTGCACCTGGACCACAACGCCATCGAGACCATCGAGCCACTCTCCTTCAGCGGCCTCACCTCCCTCAAGCTGCTGCAGCTGGAGGCCAACCGACTGCGGGAGCTGCACCCCCACACCTTCATCACCGTTTCCTTCCTGGGCACCTTCTGGGGCTCCGGCCTGCGCCACCTGCATCTGTCCGACAACCAGCTGGAGTTCCTGCTGCCCGAGACCCTGCAGCACCTGAACAAGCTGGAGGTCCTCTCCCTGCATGGCAACCCCTGGGCGTGTGACTGCCATCTGCACTGGCTCGTAGAGTGGCACAGCAGGAACGAGGGTATGACGTATCTATTAGCATCTCTTTGCCTTTTCTTAGCGAATTTTATTAAAAGCAACAGAAAGGGTTATGTGAGGCTCACTGGGTTAAGATACTGTGCTTGTGATTGGAGGGTCGCAGGTTCAAATCCTAGTGTCGGCAAAGTGATTTTAGTGCTGGGCTTTGTAAATGAATGTGTCTATTAGTCTTTTATTACCGAATTTTATTATGTAAACAAGAAAAAGTCAGCTTTACATTATTAAGGACCACTCCATTTAAAGGGGCAGTATACCCCAAAATCAAAACAACATATGTTTCAGATATGCTGTAGGGCTATTTATCCATCTACATGAGAATTTTCTATATATTTTTTGGAGATATCGGGCATAGAAATGCCAGTTTGTTCTCAAATGTAACGGGAGTGAATGACATTCTTTCTGTGGTTATGAAATCGCCTAAGAAATACATTTGAAAAATTCAACAGTAATGTTGCTTAACATAAATATTGACCCGGTTACTCAAGATAATCCACAGACCTGGTAGTGCGTACTTTATTTCTTTTTACCAAACTCCACACACCAGACAATGTGAGCTGACGGAAACATCAATGGCATTCTCCATGGTTGAGCTCTAACGTTATTTGGCTCAGTGGTGTTAGGTGAGCTAACATTATCGAGCTATAATCACTATTAACTAAGATAGTATTGTTGCTATTTGTTAGTGCTGGTAACTGATGCTAACCAATACTGCTACCCCACCTAGCACCACTGAGCTACCTAACGTTAAAGCTAACCCGAGGAAGACAGAGACACTGCTGTGGAATTTTTCAAATGTATTTTTTTGACCATAGAAAGAATACATTCAGTCCGGTTATGTTCTACAGCTGATATCTCCAAAACTAGGCAACTTTCACCACAACAATCAAGATGGATAAATAGCCCTACACCATATCTAAAACATATGATTTTTGTTTTTTGGGTGTACTGCCCCTTTAAATATTTTCAGGTTCAAGTATCATGCCATTATAAGTAATCTGGATCATAAGGAAATACTTGTCCTTGTCTACCTGTCTCTCTCCTCACAGGGGTGATTAAGTGCAAAAAAGAACGCAGTTCCAGCCTGAGTGAGAGCTGTGCCATTTGTCGCACCCCCCAGCACCTCAACGGCAGCCACATCTTCCAGCTGTCTGCTAGTCAGCTGCCCTGCGAGAAGCCCATGGTGCAGTCCCCGCTGAAGCTGCGGGACGTCGCCGCTTGGGAGGACTCTGAACCTGATCTCCCCTACACCAAGGACCTGGAGCCACCCCTGGGGCAGCTCACCTTCGTGCTGTCCGACAGCCATGAAAACCGGGCACACGTCAGCTGTGCAGTGAAACGGCCAAGCGAGGCCTCCACCGTGGCTTGGGAGAACCTGAAGATGCCAGGGTGGGTGGCAGTCAACGTGACCCTGGCCAGCCAGCTGGAGTGCGAGATCGACCGGGACGAGCTCCAGAATCTCTGGAAGCTGGTCGCCTACTACTACGAGAGCCCGGCTATTTTGGAAAGGGGTCTGAGGCAGGAAAACACTAGCAGGACCACGTTTCAGTATTCCCAGATGGCAAATGAGGACTCGCCCTACTTCACTGAGCTCAAGGGCCATCTAATGGCGGAGCCGGCTTGGCTGCTGCAGCCGAGGGTCACTCTGCAGCTAAACAGACGCAGGACCACAACAAAAAAACTGGTCCTGAACTTCTCCACCTTCATCTCAAAGCACATCAGTGGCCAGGAAGACAAAGGGGCTGACATGTACACCTGGGCCATGGTACAACGGGGAACCCCTGGGAGACTGCAGGCTGTTCTGGAAGGTTCTGACGTCAATCTGGAATGTAAAGTCATCAGTTCTGGAAGAAAGACTGTGCAGTGGATGCTCCCTGATCTGTCCATTCTTAACACTTCCCATGACAGACTGGAGGCCTCAGAGGATGGAGTTTTAGTCATAAAAAGTGCAAGTATGTCTGACTCTGGTTTGTACCACTGCCTTGTGCAGACATCCAGTGATGTGGATGTTGTCTCTTTCAGGCTGACAGTGCGGGAGCTCCTGCTTAGTCCTGATTCGATGAATGGTCAGGCGATGTCTGTGGAAAGTGAAGGAACCCTCACTCTCCCCTGCTCTGTTTCTTCAGTTCAGCCCAGCAAAATCAGCTGGTTCCTGCCTGGAAATCAGATCTTGCACCCTTCACCACGACATGACAGAGTTTATGTAGCCACAAATGGCACACTGGTCATTAAAAGGGCAGCACAAGAGGATGCTGGGGAATATAGCTGTTTGGCATCTAATCTTTATGGGGCGGACATGCTGTCTCATCGTGTCACGATCATGGGAGATAAAGACACAGAATCACAGAGCGCAGAGCAGCTGACAGGAAGTGCCCCTGTCAAGAATGTGAAATTTCCTACGGAGGACTCTGAAGACGAAGGTTCGGGTTTCTGGACAACAGGACGCCTGATTCCTACACCGGCGCCTCGCAGAACGATTGGAAAGCCTCATGGTTCCGGCCGGAGTTTCAGTCAAGTTAACAGGGGGGTGAACTTTAAGGAGGGAAAGAGGAAGTTAAACAAGTCTGTTAAGGAGCTTGACCCTAACCGTTGGGCTCAGATAATAGCTAAGGCTCATGCTAAGGGCTCAACTAGCACACAATCTACTTCTGTGGCATCTGCAGCAGAGACAATGACAGCTACAAGTAAAATGAGTACTGCCACTACTCCCACTCCAACAACAACTACTTCAACCACGTTAACCCCGACTCTTTCCACTACTACTACTACCATAGCTTCTGCTATTACCACTGCAGGTCGGGAGAGCACATCAGATGAATTCACTACCACAATACCTACTTATTTTGACAGAGATTCAAACATTCCTAAACCAACTTTGTTAAATTCCAATTCTGTTGACATTACTTACAATGGTAGTAGTCATGTGACTCTTTCCAATCAGCAACCGGTAGCACAGCCTGAACAATCAATGGACCAACGTCCAACAGTGGGTGGGGCAAAATCATCCTCCAATTCCTTTACAGGAAACCGACGGAGACTTCCATATCGACGAAGGAGACCCCCCCAGCGAAAGATTCAGCCAATAAATTTAAACCCCTCAAAGGGTAAAGTAGAGAGCAGTCAACAAGTCCCTTCAAACACAACCAGAAACAGTGACAGGACAGACAAATATAGAAAACACGAAAATAATGCAACGTTGCCAAGGGCATCAATAACCGTTGATAGTTCAAATGAACAGGTTAATTTACCTTCAGATCACCAGCTTCCTCCAATAACAGAGGAATCTGCTCATAGTGAGCTACTAACCCCAACAGTAGGAAGTTTACAAAGGATTCATCAGTCTGTTACAGGTAACACTGCCATCAGTACAACTGTATCAGGATATATGCCATACATTACTGCAGAACGAAACCAGAGGAAGGAGGCAGAAAGCACTATGGTGTCATCTGAAAAAGATAATAATGAATTTACATGGAAAACAACCACGGAACCCATGTCTATTCGGTTTAACTCCCCTGTAAACATCAAACCCCCATCAATGCAAGACAGAGTCTCTGCATCTCCAGCCACAACACACATAGTGCCATTGATGGAGCAAAAGGGTTTGTCCAATAAAAGCAATCCAGCCATGGCAAATAAGTGGAAAGACTCCCGTAACACAGGGAGTCCATGGGATAAGGATTCCACAATATCTAAATCTAAGACCCACCATCCTCCAGCAGCTCCTGTCGATCACCCCTGGTCCAGGCAGCAGCACGTTCACAAAAAGGTTAATGTTCCAAATACACAGCCGCCCTCTACTTCCACCTTCTCCTGGGCTCACTGGGCTCAATTCACCTCCTGGCCACCGGTTTATAATTCACGCCTGTATCCTTCCTCTGTGCACAGACCTTGGAATTCCCTTCACCCAGTCGGCAGGGACGATGGGGTGACAAATCGGCCAGGAATTACTGCTCAGACTGTCAAACCAACGGTTTTCCCGTCGGAATCAGGCCCAGCCCAGACATCACGGCCCTTTATAAGCTCCTCAACCAGCAGAACCAGAGACTACTGGCTCTCGAGGTTCAGAAACAGACATAAGCAATCGCAGCTCGATGTCCATCGCCTTTCACAACTAGGGAAGATCATCACACCGAAACCTAGAGTCAGTTCCCCTACCCCAAAACCATTCGAGGCTCCTGTTACTCCAAGAAGCCACAGTACGGCAGCCCCCACACCATTTCCTTCACACACAAACAGGCCACACCATACAGCCAGTGTTTTGTATGGTAGCCGATGGCACTACCACCACGGGGGCCCCAGAATTTTGAGCACTGCGCTACCCTTCCCTCAGCTGATGGGCAGTGGGGTGAAGCCGAGGATAACTTCAGCTAATGTCGTTAGCGTCTCAGCCCTGGCCGAGTCGGACGTGGTGCTGCCCTGTGAGTCCAAGGGGGACCCAAAGCCGATGGTCTCCTGGACCAAAGTCTCCACCGGTAAGAACATCATCATATCTTTGAGAAATTGTGCACTAAAATGAATTCATTCAACAAACCTATCACGGATTAGCCGTCCTCACAAATAATTTATTTGTCAATTATAAAAATGTTTAATATTTTATATAAATGATCTTTTACAGCTAGTTTTTCAACCAATTCTTCTCTATGGCACTTTCTGCCTCATCAACAGGGAATCACCAGACAAGGGCTTTACGTAACCCATTAATCTCTGTCACCCTGACCTCATTGATTTAAGATAAACTAATGAGATTCGAAATAAAACGATCACGCTCATCCCCTCTCCCTCATTAACAGGTGCCACCATTCAAGAGGACACAAAGCACGGGCAAAGGTTTGAGGTTCTGAGGAACGGCACGTTTGTGATCCAGAACGTCCAGCTGCAGGACAGAGGGCAGTACCTCTGTACAGCGCAGAACAAGTTTGGATCGGACCGAATGGTTGTCACGCTGGCGGTGCTGACTCAGCCTCCTAAAATCACAGCCCCGGCTTCCAAAGATGTATCCGTATACCTGGGAAGGCCTGTCAGTCTGGACTGTGTAGCAGGGGGGAGGCCCAAGGCTCAGATTTCTTGGCTCCTTCCAGACCGAACATTCGTGCGTGAAGAATCTCCCTCAGATGCTGCAGCCACTCTGCTCTTAGCCAATGGCACGCTGATGATCCCGGCAGCCAACTTCTCCAGCAAAGGGGACTACAAGTGCATCGCAAGCAATGCGGCAGGGGCGGACACAGTGACCTATCGCGTCCATGTGGCTGCCTTGCCACCAGTTATCAAAGAGGAGGCCTCGGAAAACATCAAGATGAAGGAAGGCTGGAACGTCTACATGCACTGCACAGCTAAGGGGGAACCCCTACCTTTCCTCAAGTGGACTATTCCAAGTGGGGAGCACATCAAGCCATCCCAATTCCTTGATGGCCGTCTCTTCGTCTTTCCCAACGGCACGCTGTATGTGAGAAGCAGCTTGCCCACCGACTCCGGGAAGTACGAGTGTTATGCCACCAATGCGGTGGGTTCCTCCAAGAGAGCGGTACAGCTGGACATCAGACAGGAGCCCTCCAGTCCCCGGCACAGTCCGTCCCAGCCGCACAGAGTAACAGCCATGTACGGTTCTACAGTGTACTTACACTGCCCTGAGTCGATGAGCAGCCAGCGCGGTGCCCTCTGGAGACTGCCCTCCAAAACACAGCTAGATCATCGCTACAGGTATAAGGACAGTGCTTAGTGTTTATGATGCAACAATAATATGTTTGTATGTGTGTTCTTACACATTGAACACAATGAACATGTACATCACCAAAAAAATGGTCATCTGTAAATTGAGTCAATTACTTTTGAAAACAGAAAATGTCACAATAATCCAAAGGTGCTTCAGAACACAACAGTCCTGAACAGGAATGCAGTTAATGTTCCTCTCAGTCTGGCTTCATTGCACACAAATACACTTGGACATAGTGGGACATGAGGGTTCATTAAAAATCACCTGAAACAGCTTGATCTCCTCTCTACATACCCTCATTTACAGTCAAGCAGCATAATCAGTACTGACTACAGAGTCAACAAGCTTCTGAAATTGTAATAGTCTGTTATTAAACACATAATAAAGCGACAGAACATAACCACAGCATCAACAGTGGGTTCTTAGGGACTGAGTCCAACTAAACTCTCAGCACTTTCAAGTAAATTTTCTCTTCTCCATTTTCAGTACCTAGATTTGAATATAACTGTTTTTCAGTTTTAAAGAATAATCACCTATCACACACTGGGATATATTTTAGATGACTTTTTGTTCTATTTAATACAAATAATGGATGTTCCTTCTAGATTTTATAAATGACGTTTTAATATAAAGATTGTTCCGATTTACCTTAAGCTATTTCTTAATGACACTCTTGTGTGAATCTCTTTTCAGTCCTGAGAGACCGGTAACTGCCTTCCCCAACGGCACACTCAGGATCCAGCAGCTGACAGACAGGGATGCGGGTACCTACTACTGTATATTCCAGAGACCCAATGGAGAGGAGATGGAGCTCTTCCTGGTCGAGGTCCTCATGAAGCCACCCAAGATAGAACACTTAGGCACAGCTGCAAAGAAAGTTGTGTACGGGGCCAATTTCCAAGTTGACTGTGTAGCCTCAGGCCTCCCGGATCCGGAGGTGTCCTGGACTCTGCCTGATGGCACCATGATAAGCAATGCCCTCCAGTCAGATGACAGTGGGACACGATCTCGTCGCTACATAATTTTTGGGAATGGTACACTCCTGCTGCAACAGATGGGCAAGGGAGATGAGGGTGACTACACATGCTACGCTAAGAATGAGCTTGGGGAGGATGAAATGAAGGTTAGCATCAAGGTGGTCCAAGACTCTCCCAAGATCTTGTCCAAGGACCAGGGGTCCCACTGGGGTCAGCTTGGCAAGCCAACCTATCTGAAGTGTGAGGCTAGAGGTGACCCTCCTCCCACGATTATATGGATTTCACCAAGAAATGACATCATTGGATCTCTTTCCCCCAAGTACCAAATCTTAGATGATGGCACCCTAGTAATTAAGCAGGTAGGTTTAGATGATCGGGGAAAGTATGCTTGCCTGGCCAGGAACTCAGCAGGAGATGATATTAAAAATGTGAGACTTGAGGTAGAGGCAAAGAAGCCTCACATAAACGGCAAAGGGGGACAGACTAGCATGAATATTTTGGCAGTGTCTTATCAGACACAACTTCTGGATTGCAAAGCAGAGGGAATGCCAGAACCAGCCATCATCTGGACCACATCTCGTGGGATCTCATTGCCAGCTCCTTATCAAGGTGGTAGGTTCCAAGTACATCAAAATGGGAGCCTGGAGCTACGAGGCTTGAGAAAGACAGATGAGGGTCGCTTTACATGCCTAGCAAAAAACGATATGGGCGAGGCATCCTTGCAGATTGACCTTGAAGTGGCATCTCTTGCTGAGAAGCCAAGCTTTGCAATCCCAAATATTGAGGTTCTACCCCTTAAGGCTGATGGAAAGGACATTGTCCTGAAATGTCTTGCCCGAGGCAAGCCAGTCCCAGAATATGTGTGGGTGCTACCCAATGGCACAGTACTCATCCCAGGCACTAGACTTCAACGTTTCCTTCACTACCAAGGCAACGGAACTTTGCGAATACTGCAGTCGACGACAACTGACAAAGGAGTCTATCGTTGTTTAGCCAAAAATGTAGCAGGACAAGCAGAGAAGCGCTACTCCCTGGAACCAGGAAAGAAACCCCAGGTCCGGGGAACGTCTGGACCAGTAAAGATTTCCTTCGGCCAGAATCTAAACCTCCCTTGTGCTATCGATGCCTGGCCTCAGGCTACCATATCTTGGCATCTACCCAGTGGCTTGATGTTGAACAAACCTCAGGTCATTGGTAGAGTGACTGTCTTATCAAATGGCACATTCATTCTCAGAGACATCACCACATTTGACCGAGGCACCTACACCTGCAAAGCCACTAATATGTTTGGCTCATCTACCATTTCCTACCCTGTGGCGGTGACGGTCTATCCCCCCCGCATCACAAGTGCACCCCCATCCATAATGCGAGTGAACAGGGGATCATCCGTCATACTCAACTGCATCGCCGTTGGCACGCCCAAGCCTGACATCTCCTGGACTCTGCCTGGTCGGACAACTCTTGTTCCCAGTAACCGTTTCGCAGCACAGGGCAGCATCCATATGACGGTGGAAGGCAGCCTGGTGATACAAAAGCCAGTGCTCATGAACTCAGGGATTTACAAATGCAATGCAAAGAACTCTCTGGGAACAGACTTCAAAGCTACATACCTTCAAGTCATATGAGCAGTGGGCCTTAACTTACCTTTCAGCCAGAAATCATGAGCTGAATTTCATCCACTGGAACAGAATCTTTAAGTCAAGTGTGCATGGCATCAGGTATCCAGAGTTGGGTAATTCAGGTCTAGAGAGTAAAAGTCCAGACCGGGATTTTGTTTCAACCAACCTGTTGAGTACTATGTGACTGTGACTCTTTATGCTCAACTGTTTTGTTGAAACAAAATCCCAGATTGGACTTTTACTCTGTGGATCTGAATTACCCAACTCTGCAGGTATCTATCCCAAATTGCTTTCTGTGCATATTCAAGAAACCTTACAAGCAAAGCTCAAGAATATTTCATCCACTGTCAGCAGCATTTCATTATTCATAACATTATGAGAAAACCAGCTAATCAAAAGTTCAGCAAGGACTATCCTGAAAGTTTTTTTATCCTCTTATTTATGAAAGTACCAATTTGTAAATATTTAATTATGTTATGCCATTCCTTGTATAAAAATCTCATTACAGTTTCTTTTGTCTAAGGTAAACTATTTTTCCAAAAATATAAAGTATTAATTCTATTTGTTATCCGTATCCCCTCACATTCACAAGTGATTTAATCGCATGCATACTGTGACAATTAACATAGACGATAAACTCTGCATTCAGAATATACTTTTCGCCATCCTCGGCCCGTGACATGCTTTGAGATTTCATGCTTCGAAACAAACGCCCCTTTCATAGCCATAGTATAACGGAGAGCTTTGTATGGTTAAAATAAGTAAGAATTGTTCCCGGGAGAATGTAAATAAGAAATACTAATTAGATGCAAAAAAAAAACTCTCAGCTGCCTCTTGGGTGTGATATTCATTTCCAAAAACACTTTTTAGAATATTCATTAGGCCTATACGAGAACCGCTTGCTCACGTTGTCAAGTGAAACATCAAACCTTATCCTGTCTGTATTTATATGAAAGTCATCTGAAGGACGGCCCCTAGCTTTCCGTTTCTAATGCACCAGTCCTGACCCCTTCATCTGCGCCATTTTATATTATTGTAGCCTTCATGGATAAAGTGATGGCGTGGGACAGATCGGTTTAGGCTGACTGGACTGAGAATAACAGATGTACTTTGTAAAATTATTGTGTTCTTTTAAGTTATCTTTGTCAGAGGAAATAACGAACTAACTGATCAATCCTAAAAGGTTTTCCATTTATTATTATTATTATTAGTAGTAGTAGTAGTATCTTTATATTATTATTATTACTATTATCATCTATGATAATAACAATTATTATTATTATCATTGTTATTGTTATTGTTGTTGTTATTATTAGCGGTCTCCCCATGTGAAATTTCCCTTTTGTGGATTGTGCGCTGGGGAGATTGGATGTGTATCCATGCCCCGTCCTGACCTAGCACCCCACCCCCCGTATCACAGACAGACCGGCACACAGCCGCGCGCATCCCCTTCGCTCGCGATGGCAGAGGAGTCGCACGCAAACGGGGGCGGAACGGGTCGGTCCAAAGACGCGAACCTGAGCTCCTCGCTAGAACTGGGCACGTCCCTTGACCAGAGTGTGCAAACCCGAATATTTAAAATTATAGTAATCGGGGACTCTAATGTGGGGAAAACGTGTCTAACCTTTCGCTTCACCGGAGGAAGCTTCCCGGGGAAAACAGAGGCGACGATCGGCGTGGATTTCAGGGAAAAAGCCGTGGAAATAGAGGGTGAAAAAATTAAGGTAAGCAACAAATAACGGGGGAATAAAACTGCATCGTCGCATTGTTTTCCTCCTGTTTGTGGCAGCCTGACACAATGCCGTGGGTTTTTTCTAAACCCTATGTCCGCTTCCTGGACGCAGATGCCGCTAAGGTAGCCTATTTGTGATGCTCCCAGTGTCTGGCATGGGGTGGGACCGGATACTAATTCAATCTTAGCGAAATTAATTCTATTTTATGTCATCTTAAATAAGCAAGTCATAGTACGTAAAATAGAAATCGGATCGTTTCTTCGCTTTCCAGAGTTGTAACGCGACCGCCGACTGCTTGCTAAACATAAAAAAAATTCTCTGGGATTATATCAAATTAACGTATGTGCAGCCCTAAAGTACTGTGTATTATAGCTGGCCTGCATGTAAATCTGGTTGCATGTAAGAATCGCGTCTAGGCCGCGACTGTCGTTCTTGTTAATCGTGGTGCATTATTTATTTTTTGTTTGTTTTTCAACCATCCCCATCGAAATAATAGGAGGAACTCATTTCTTAATTTTGCAATTTAAATTTGGGACAAGGAATTAGCTGTGAAATAAATTTAGAAAGCAGGTAAGTGTGGGATATTGTGCTGTTTGTCAAAGGACTGAAGGTAACGTGGGAGCAGAAAGAGTCCCGAAGGATGAAGGAACACTTTGATCTTCTGTGAACAGCAGAATGCCAGTCATTTTAGCATCTAATTAAGGTGTAACAAAAATAGACATGCTGTCACACCATGGTATTAAAACCCACATTATTTCAGGATGCAGCATCATTTAAAATGCCCTTTTTATTACTGTTATCCTCTACTGAGCTACTGTCATTAAAGATCATCTATCCATCCATCCATGTTCTAACTGGGGGGGGGGGGTATTCATACAGTATGTCATTGCATTTGGTCAGTAGACACCTAGAACAAACAGCATGTACTTAATGAAGTAATTCCTGTTAAATTGCTTAAAGGCAGAACAGCAGTTCCATGGGTGTCCTGCCTCTCTTACCGGATATATAGTGCTTGTGTCCCCTCTTGTTGTGTGTGACTGCCAGGTCTGATTTTTCTGTGGACAGGTGCAAGTGTGGGACACGGCTGGCCAGGAGCGCTTCCGCAAGAGCATGGTGGAGCACTACTACCGCAATGTGCACGCCGTGGTCTTTGTTTACGACGTGACCAAGATGTCCTCCTTCCAGAACCTGAAGACCTGGATACAGGAGTGCAACGGGCACCGTGTCTCGCCCTCCGTACCCAGGGTCCTGGTGGGCAACAAGTGCGACCTGCTCGACCAGATCCAGGTGCCCTCCAACGTGGCTCTCAAGTTCGCCGATTCCCAGAACATGCTGCTCTTCGAGACATCCGCAAAGGACCCCAAGGAGAGTCAGAACGTGGACTCCATCTTCATGTGTCTGGCTTGTCGACTTAAGGCCCAGAAGTCCCTCCTCTACAGGGATGTGGAGAGAGAGGAGGGCAGATTAAAGCTCTCCCAGGAACCCAACCCCAGAAACGCCTGCCCGTGCTGAGGGGACCCCACAGTCCGTCTTCTCTTGGTCGAGAACGGAAGAATCTCGTGTACTGCGAAAGACGTGAAGAAACAAATTAGCATAAAGATCTCCTTCAAAAGAACGTGCCTGTGACTAGTCCTCCTTCTCTGTGTGATGACTTCTAACTCGCCTGTCTCCTTGGCCCCCCTCTGTCCTGCTCTCAATCTGTCACTCTCCTTTTGGCCGTTTAACTTCTGCTGTTAATCTCCTCCTGCCCTAGCAACCAACGTATGATAGTACTGCCTCTTCTTCTGTTTATGGCCTTCAGACGAAAAAAAGACACTGACTACCTGCTGTCTTCGAGGACTGAGAAGTTGACTGTATTATTGATAGGACAACTGCACTGAATTCAGTATGGCCATCTCGCTGCCAAATGTATTGCCTGTGATTTTTTCTTTTAATTTAAAAAACTAAATGAAAAATGATTGCAGTCACAACAAAATATCAGCCCAGACTCCCAGGAGTGAAACTGTGCTGCAGGGGTATAGAACAATATTTCAGCAGTACAAGAATATCGTGTACCTGTGAAAACTCACCATCACAGCTAATATTCTGATCCAGCCTTCTGTGGAAGGGGGAGCAATTTAGGGATGTCAACAGTGCAATGTAGCTGGCTGCCAAATATATGACTTTTAGGGAGATATTACTTCTGTAAGTATGGTTTGGTTATTACACATTTCAGCTATGTAGTAACCAGTGTTACACTGTATCTCAGGGCTGCCCAATACCCCTCCTGAAGATCTCCCACCTTGCAGAGCTTAGATACAGCCCTAATTTAACACACCTGATACAGATAATGAGACCCTTCGGGTGCAGCTCAGTATTAGAGTCAGTTATATTGAAGCTAAGCTGGCTGTAATACTGAGACATTACTGAAGGGCCTGATTATCCGTATCAGGTGTGTTAAATTAGGGCTGTGCCTGAACTCTGCGGGGTGGTACATCTCCAGGAGGAGAATCGGGTGGCCCTGCTCTTGCCATGATACTGCTGAATTAGTAGGTGAAGCTCCACAGCAAACCGAAGGGAACAACCCAGGATGGAGCGCCAACCCATTGCAGGGCACACTCACACACCATTCACTCTCACACACCATTCACTCTCACACACCATTCAGTCTCACAGATCATTCACTCACAGACCATTGACTCACAGACAATTCACTCACACACCATTCAGTCTCACACACCATTCACTCACACACCATTCAGTCTCACAGATCATTCACTCACAGACAATTCACTCACACACCATTCAGTCTCACAGATCATTCACTCACAGACCATTCACTCTCACTCATCATTTACTCACACATCATTCGCTCACTCACCATTCTCACCTAAGGGCAATTTAGTAACTCCAGATAACCTCAGCATGTTTTTGGACTGTGGGGGGAAACCGGAGTACCTGGAGGAAACCCCACGACGCCACAGGGAGAACATGCAGACTCCACACACATGGTGTCATACCAGAGGCTCGAACCCTGGTCCCAGAAATGTGAGGCGACAGTGCTGCCCTGTCTTCTTTCAGTCATGCTAAATTAGTGCTGAAAAAGTTATACGTTTTTTTTATTACTTTAAAGCTCCTCCGTTGTGTGTTGATCTCTGTTGTTTTCATAATCAGCTTTTCTGTAGCCAAAACTGACTGACGACTGAAAATAGAGCCAAGTGCCTGAATGCCTCGCCTTTCCGGAGAGTTTCAGCGTTAATTTTAACATCCGGTTCCGCGTCAGCGTGTCATTAGCACAGCCTGCTTGTTCCGCACGTGGCTGCTCAGACTGTGACATCACTCAGGTTGGAGGAGGTCCGGAAGTGCGGAAACGTGTTCTGTCCTGACACAGGAAGTCTGACCTGTACTGTAACTGACTCAGAATCAGAGAGACCTGTCAGCTGAATCAGCCTTTGCAGCATCACAAGCAATAACACACATCAAGCATAAACCTCCATTCATCCATCTACCGACTGCCTATCCTGGACTGGCTTGTAGAAAAGAGAGAGTTCTTCTACAGTGTTTCCCAAGGGGGGCGGCGTGAGTTTTCAGTCTGCAGGGGCCAAGCTACGCCTGACTTTAGGGATACAGTAATCGCTTATTTATGCCAGTAACTGCCGTAGCCTCCTAGCATGTCTGTGCCTTTAGGTAACAATCCCCATTCTGCTTCTGACCAAAGCACTGGCTGGTTTTTAGGTTCTACCTTAAATTACTAACGACATCAGTATTAAGGGATCGGTTCTTAGGTGAGGTGTGTAAGTACTATGGGTTGATGAATATATATGTGTTTATCATTATACTGTGACTGCAGGCCGTGGGGGTTTTGCTCGTCTTTACATTTTTGAGGGGTTCCGCCCTTCCTCAGAAGCACTCATCTTCGGCACCATGCCCACTGTCAGCTGTCCATCTCCTTTGGTACAGGAATGATATGACTGCATTTGCCTTGTTTAGGTGGTTCAGTCAACCAGCCCAGTGACCTGAAACACACTCATCTCATTTGATTAATCTTCCAGTAATGCCCTTAGATGTACTTGAATTACATCCAATAGTGTGCTAGTCTCTAATGACTCACGTTTCACAATTCTGTTACTGACAGTATTTACTGTGCTGTTTGGTGCAGCTGTGATGTCTGACCTTGTGAAACAATCTGATGGCAAATGGATGGTTTGGGTTTCAGTAAATTTGCATCGACTTTGGACAAGCTGACATTGACCATCATTATCATTGAGACTGATATTCGAGTGTTGCTGCATATCTGCTGCTAGCGTTTTAGGTAACTAGGACTGTGTCAGGCAACAGTGGTTGGACATTCTCCCTGTGACATTTGGGTTTCTTCCCACTGCTCCAGTTTCCTCCTGCAGTTGAAAGAAATAGTTAAGCTAATTGGCATCTTTACATTTATATATAATGTGTGTGTGTGTGTGTGTTTGTGGATTAGCTTAATGTTACATTGTGGGGACCAAATGTGACCACATTGTGATAAAAATCTGTGCTTTTGACATTGTGGAGACCATTTTTCAGGTCCCCACAAAGATCTGAATGTAATCAAAAAACTAAAAATGCCACAAATCATTTTTTGATTGGTTACGGTTGGTTATTGTTAAGGTTAGGTCTGGGTAGGGGTTAAAGATGTCATAGTTAGCATTAGCATTTTCCCCCACAAAGATATGATTACAGGTATCTGTGTGTGTGTGTGTGTGTGTTGTTGCCCTGAAGCAGACTGGCATCCCATCCATAGTGCACTCCTACCTTTCTGCTAGGGACAGGCTCCATGGTCCTGTGAACCTGGCCAGGTTAAGTGGTTCGAAGTTGGATGGAGATTCCTGCATGATGCCTGAGAACAGGCAGCCATGCTGGTTACTTGGTGGATGATGAAGGTCTTTGTGTGGTTTTCAGAAAGATTTTCTGTAAATGATATATCCTCGGTAAAAAAAAAAAGGCTTTATTTGTGGTGGCATAAGGCATCTCAACGTTAGCTGTTCATTAAGTGTGAGCCATTGGTTTGAGCTGTTTAAACGTGACACGTATATTCTGGTACAGTATTAAACCAGTAGATCGGAAATCTTGTAAAAACCTACACGCAAATCAAATCAGAACATTCCTGTCCAGTGTTCTCATCCTGTTTGGAAATCCATAAAGGTGCTGGATTTGATACAGGTCGCCCCTTGCATACTGAGGCTTTTACACCCAGACTAATTTCATGCTTTAACGGGACAATTGTTAAACACTCATGAGTAACAGAAATTGTATGCTTTGAAAATAAAGCAAATAAACTGTGCCACTGTGGACAGAATTGTCTCTTGTTAATCAAACTGCAAGGTATGTTCCATAAGTAGAGTCAATCAGCTGTACAAAATCATTCGATTCATGAGATAAACCAACCTCTCAAACATGGTTTTCTCATTCTGTTATGATAAGCACAATGTGTGGAAATTCACCCTGGTATTGGAGAATGGCATAGAACATACTTTAGATGCTATACTGACATTAAACACACCAGTCCACCCTGGTTTTCTTATTGAACTGACAAGAAGAGATCAAAGAGGTGAATGAACCACAAACATAAAACTGTAATTTTCTATCTTGCTTGTCCATTCATAAAAACATCCTCATTGTATTTATGATGAAGAAACACTGTGATTAGCTTTGATTAAGTGGTTTAATAGCATTTTCTTTAAAGTCAGAATCGTCTTTGTGGAAAGGAGAGAGAGAGAGGGCTGAAATCTCAAACTAGATCCAGAATGACCTAATTGTCACATAAACTGTTACGTGACAGGTTTTAGAAATCCAGAGATGAAAGAGGCTGTCAAGAAGAAGTCAAAATCTCCAGATGGCTTCAAAACCCACTCAAATGTCTCCAAGCAGTTATTGAACTCTTAGACTGACTTTATTTAATGCAACATGCTATATATATATATATATAACTATATATATAGGACCTCCAATTGTTACTAAATAACGGATAGCCCAGACCTCTTTTTCCCTAGCAACACAACCTTAGAATGTAGAACCTTAGATGCTTTCTGCCTGAATTTGTCTCATTTTACAGCCATTACTTATTCGAGAAGGCCTGTTTTCTTCATAATTATCGAAAGTTACATGGGGAGGTTACTTCCAGCAAACACAGCTCTCCTGCTACCCAGAATAACCATAGGCACAAGCAGACTCAAGTACAAATGTTTACATTGGAAGTAGGTTTATATACTAACGATTCCAGAATAGACTAGTAATATTTAGCATAGGTAGCTATGGCACAGACCTGTGAGCAAAAAGATACTGGTTTAAGGATCAAAGGAGCCTTTCCTTAATAAGCTGCCCTAGGTTACTATTCCATATTTATGAGGATGTTTTTGAATCCAAACATTTTATATGTTCTATTTTAAAAGCATAATTACCACCTGATATCTGTATTCCTCTTGAATAATACATCTTCAGATGTACCTTGACACATCTATGGTGATGCAACCTGGAGGAATCAGGTGTTCTGGGGCTTTTTCGGGACTTTACTGGGACTTTCTCCAAAGAGGTACAGGCACAACTGCCCTGCCTCTGGTGAACCCAGTGGCCCCTGCAGAGGGGTCGTCCTGCAGATCCTCTGCTGCCCTGTGCAGCACATGGCATGCTGTCTCTCTCACCATTTAATGAGACCCAGCACCTGCCCCATCTCCCTTTCATTAGCTGCCTCCCTCCTGTCTTCCCAGGGAACTTTCAGCTGTAGCATCACCTTCTCCTTAGATCGTTCACACTGCAACGCCATATCTGGCCTGAGTGTTGTCCCGCCAGTGGTGTTTGGCTATTCGGCTGCTTCCTCACGCCAACTTCCAGTTGCCAGTGAACTCCCATCTTGCCAGGAGACCTGAGGATAACCTGGACAGTTGCTGCACGCTTGCTGGTACTGATGGCTGTGCAGACGGTGCAGCATTCATGGTGCCAGCAACAGCAACCTTCTCTGAGAGCTTTCGGGCAGCAAAGGAGGCCCGCTGCCCTGCTTCACTGTTCCGTGTTTTTGTCAGAAGGGCATGATGGTAAGAACAGCTAGCTCCCATGTCAGATACTTACTAAATTAATTCAGTGACTGAAATCACATCTAGGTAAAAGCATTTGGAACCTGAGTGATACTGTTGATCAATATCATAGCAGCTCTGGAGCGAGTGCAGGGATTCCTGGAGTCAGCTTGGAGCTGGAGCTGGGAACTCCCTCTGCTGTCACTCCACCCTGGAGCTGGAGGTCCCTCAATGCCCTGGAAGCACTTCTGACAGAAGCAAGGGAGTCTGAAACACTGCCAATCCTGATTGACATATTTTTATTGTTTTTTTTTTTTTTTGGTGGAATTTCCAGGTGTGAACCTGTGAACCTCATCATCTTGTCTCAACTAGCGTGAACTGGTGTAAAACACTTACTGGTGTAAACCACTTACTGGGGGTATTGTGGTATAGCTACAAGTGTAAACCAGACCAGTTCAGATTTTCAAAAATTTCCTTGTACGAGTTTCCATTAAGATAATGAAATATATTTATATTAAGAACAAACCCAATGAAAAAGTAGGAAACTGAAAATCCTGGCTGTGGACTTTGCAGCCCCTGTACAGGGCTGGTCCTCCAGAATCTGCCAGCGAATTCATCCCCCACCGCATTCCCATGGCCAGTGGATGGTTCTATGACTAAAGCCGTTTTGTGTCTCTTCTTTAAACTGGAGCATGTCTTCCTAATTTTACTTCAGGCATCTTGTCTCACAAGGATGTGTGTCTGTCACAGTGTCTTAATTTAATACTCCAAAAAGAAGGTAGATAATGTGTGATGAGCTGTATTACGCAGCTGAAACAATATTTAAAACTGAGGCTGAACTTTATATGGGAGAGTAGAAACTGTTGCTAGAAGAAATTTTCTGGACCTGACAGATGCCCCATGTCTGTTTTTTTATTATAACATAAACTGCATTTGAGCTCAGTGAAATGAACATTTCTTAAAATCTAAATTTAGTGGTAGAACAAAACCCAATTATTCAAGCAATTTATAAACATTCATTTTTTTTCTAGGAATGTCTAATTTATGTTAAGATAAACATTATGGAAAGATTCAATTTCAAGATGGAAAATCTCTGTGACACCACTTCTGTTTACTACATATCTTTAAACATAGTATTAATAGGTCGTTGGTCGGTCATTACTTAATAGATATCATTTTAAAACTTTTAATTTAGTTTTGTTAAGTTTGGTGCTGACAGTAAAGTATCTGGATATTTACTGAAATGTAGCAAGTTGTTTTTATACAACTCCTAACGAAATATTTCAATGTTTGGGAGTTTAGGAGATGCCAGTTATTGGCATAACTGGCATCTGTATCCCTAAACGGTCGAAAAATAGAGCCTTCAAATTTCTGCCATCATCATACTTAATCGTAAATGCGTTTATTTTATTAAATCCTTCTAATTAATTCCCTTACTCGGCAAGCAATCATTAATGACTTTCTGTCTTTAAAAATCCTTTTTATTGTTTATAATACTTAAAAAATAAATTGATTTTTTATTTATCTTTATGAGATCCAAAAATTGCTTTTGAATACCATCGGGACCATGTTTAAACGCATTGAAGTCCTGCTGTTAATTCATTCAACAGCTCAATCAAGGCTCATTAACCGGGTCGATTAGGTCGCTACTACACTGGCGATAAGAACTTCCACCTGTAGGGAATGATTTGCCTGGCTTGTCATTCTGACCTCCCATCACCATGTGGCGTCTGTCTTACATACAGGCGGCAGAATAATAATAAGAAGAAGAGTGCGTAAACGTGTGCGGCGTATCATGTTCTCGCGATAACTTGGTTGTAAAGGAACCTGTCGTCCCGGTAGCAACGGAACGGGGCTAGGCGCAGAAGAGCCCCACGAAGGCCCGCAACCCGGCGGCGCAATGGCCGAGTACAGCCGGACGGGCATCCTGACGGCACTGCTGCTGTTTACGGTCGTCACTCTGCGGGATTTTTATCTCGGCAGGAACTTGAGTGAAGAGCAGCAGCGGGAGCGGCAGACCGCCGACATCCGGGGCGCCGTGCCCGAAAGCCCGCGGGACCTGGATGCGTTGAAGGCCGGCAAGCCGCAGATGTACATGGGCCCGGTTCTCAGGTTTCAGTACTGGTACTGTCATCCGTAGACATTTTAAAGATTTTTTAACCTTTTTATTCCAGCATGCCCCCCATGATGCCTAGTTAGAGGTGTCTGACATTTAGCGGGTGGAAATGTGTTTCGTGTAAATCCCGGCGGCTCGCCAGTTTCGTGTTAACGCCTTATTTATGGCTGTGGGCAGTGTGGGACCCTGCTCCGGAGGCACCACCCCGAGCGAGCCTCGCTAGGCCAGCCGTGTCTCTCACGGCCCCGTTTCCTCCTCGGTTTAAAAACAGTTGACTTCGCTGCTGCTAGAAATATTTGAATTGGATGCTTCGCTGTGCTGAGATTGCAGCAAACCATGTCAAACATTTCTTTTATGATCGTAACTTTAGAAAACATTTTTGGATTGATATTTCTATTTTTCCACAGTTTGAAATTCACAGTGCTATGGTCTTCTGGTTGTCATTTTTAAAATTGTGATTCTGGTAACATACATTTATGAAAATTAGGGTTATGACCACATAAGATTTTTTTATTTATTTTTTTTTTATTTGACTCAATCTAATTTCAGAGAATTTCAGTGTGCGGTTAGACTTAAAATTTGCACTCCGGAGGTTTCTGTAGCGTAGTGTGTAGTTTATTTTCATGATGCTTCTCGGCGTGACCAAGTGAAATGTCCCTTGCTTTGGCATGATTTTTAAGCGCATTATTTGCCGACTTTTCTTGACATTGCTCGACAGAGTAAACCAAACGTGTAATTAGGAGCCGGATGTTTATCTTACTGTTGCATTAAAAAATTGACGTCTTAAAACATGCTGTTTGGGTGTCTTGTTGACCTCTGTGTATTTAAACTCGAAGTCTTTAGAGATCTAGCTAATGTTCAAGCTGCTTAAATGTCTTTTTGTCTCAGGATAATCCCTGACCTACTAGATATATAAAGCAGGCCCCTTGCTGCTCAATGGCTTGTATTTATGTAAATGTTTCTCCTTAACTGGAAAGGGTGTAACTTGGAATGCAGTTTGTAACCATCTTCTGCTGTTCTGTTTGTATCCAGCACCAGATCAGGAACCTTTCAGTCGATTCCATTACAACACTTTGTTTGGATGATGGTTAAATTCGCTTATTGATTAAGCACTACATTTGTTGCAGAATGGCCTGAAAGCATTAAGGCTGGCTCCCTGCCGTAATCTGCTGGATGTCATCAGTTCTCAGCTGCTGTCCAACCCCGAACCGCTTACGGCGGTTAAAGTTTGGGTGTGGATTGGTGGTTTATATAATGCTGGGAGGGTGCCGTGGTGTTCCTTCGACCATCTGGTGGCGATAATTAATGGGAATGAGATGGCAGCACACAGTAAACCCCGATTCTCACTAATCCTCTTAACCTGTCGGGTTGCTGTTTTGCCAATGTAGTGAAATTGGCTGGGCATCATGAAGGCTTTGTCACGGCACCCCGCATCCTGCCAGCCTCTTACTATTGTGATAAGTGTGTGTTTGGAGGGCTCTCTTCTGTGGCTCAGCTTTTATTTGCCCCCCCCACTTTTTTCCCCAAACAGCATTTCCTGAGGGTACAGCAAGGTGTACCAGGAGTACTCTTGGTCTATCAGCCAGTTGTACCCGGACATCAAAATCGAGGGAGAAAACTACCCTCCAAAACCCATTAACAAGTAAGCAGATGATTTTGTAAACAGACTTTGTTCTGCTATGACTTTGTCTGCAGGGTATATTTATTTTACGCTCTCATCACAGGTACCTTGCAAATTTCATTTCCTATTTCAAACTCCTCGTCATTGCCCTGATCGTGAGCGGCCAGAATCCTTTTCCTCTCCTTGGAATCCGCACTCCAGCTATATGGTCATGGGGTCAAGACAATAAGGTGAGGAGTGGAGAGGCTTGTGTTCAAGGGTTTTAAACTCTGCGGATGCTCTGTTTAATGCCAGGTGTGTCACGACATTCCAGTGCAATAAAGATAATATTCTGAAAATGGACGCAGTCCCAGTCCTGGCTGCCACATGCTGAACCATCATTTCCGGTTTCTTCCCCATCACAGCATCCAAATCACCCCTGCAGTGCAGTAGATTGTTCAGCTTAGTCTCTGCTTCTGTAAACTTCAGATTTGAATGTCACCACCTGTATGTGTGCAGCAAGATAGTCACTGTTTCATTTGGCAGCAGTATTCCTCACACACACATTCAAGTGCTTGGGTGAACTGGATACCCAGTGAACCCAATGTGTGCTTTGCTTTATGTGTTAAGTAAGCTGACAGCATTTTAATGTGTTGATGTCGCACAGTAATATCATTGGATGAATGAATGTCCCTCCATAGTTCTACTGATTGCCTGTGTATCAGGGCACATGCAGGGCTTGGCAGTGCCTTGTTCTGCATTTTGCAGTCTAGGAGTCCACCTGCATTTCATGGTGGTTCCGGAATCCGCTGAGATCCAGCTTGTGTGGTTTCGGCCTGATATTTCTGCCGTGTGGCTTTCAACCGTAACCAGTTGGTTTTTCTTGGCTCCTGCAGCTGGCATCGTGCATAAATGAACCCCCTGCTCTGCTTTAGGCCTCATTTGTTTGACGCAGCTACCGGTTCACAGGGGTGATGAAGCTGGCTGATGCTATGGAGAAGGTGAAGGCCTGTTGACCTACTGTACTACGGCTATAAATGTCTGCTTCTGTGTTTCTCACCTCCCAGATATTTTCCTGCCTGATGATGTTTTTCATCAGCAATATGCTGGAGACCCATTTCTTATCTACAGGGGCTTTTGAGATTACTCTCAACGGTGAGTGTCTTCCTTTGTTTGTGGTTTCATCTTTGCCTCAGTGGTTAACATCTGCACTGGCTTCTTTGGTTTCCCTCTGTGTCATTCTCTTCTTGATACTTTCTGAATATGTCTGCTTGACTGCCTACCTTTCCAGCACAATAGGGGCAATATGGCTGCTTGTAATGGCTTCTATTGGTCAGAAGTCCTGCATTGACACTAAATCAATAGAAGTTTAATGGTTTTCATTAAGGCTTTTAAATTATTTTTCGGTGGTTGTACCCTGCCTAAGCTGTTAAACTGAAATTGGGCTTATTTTCTTTGCAATTAATTTGAACGTTTTCAACAAACTTATTAAATTTACCAGCAGGACAGAATAAAGGGGGAATTTGAGTTTTGTGTATAAACGGTGACATGCCTTCTGGTAGCTCCTGCCTTCTGGCAAGAGGTACTGGAACATTCAGGCCCTCACTGCCAGACTGTGCAACAGTTTCTTCCCCCAAGCCGTCAGACTCCTGAACAATCAGAGACTGGACTCACACACACACACACACACACACACACACACACACACACACACACACCTCTATACACTTCACTACCTCAAGAAATTTTTGCACAACTCATCGCACTGTTGCACTTTACACTTTAGACTCAGCCTGTCTTAGCCATTATCATCTCTTCTATTTCCTCTATTGCACTGTTGTTGCAGTGTTTGCACATTTTGCACTCTTGCACGTTATGTAGTCCTGTGTTGATGTAGTGTTATATGTAGCACCATGGTCCTGGAGGAACGTGTCTCGTTTCACTTTGTACTGTTTTGCTGTATATTGTTGAAATGACAATAAAAGCCACTTGACTCATATATTCAATTGCTTATGGAAATCTCGTCACTTTATCTCTTACAGATGTCCCAGTTTGGTCGAAGCTGAATTCAGGACGTGTACCTAACATCCAGGAGCTTTTTCAAATCCTCGATAATCACCTGAAGATGAATCAAGTCGGCAATGTCTTCCCATAGAGCTAGTTTCCATGCTTAGTAAGTATTTAAGCAGATGTCTTTCACAGCTTGGCGGGTGACTTTGTCTAACTCTACGTTAATGAAATCCAAGGTAGGAAGAGCAGTACTGTGAACATCGGGGCCTTCTCAAGAACACTGATTTGGTGAAGAGGGTTGGAAAGGTCCTTGGAAATTGCACGGTGTGAAGAGGGTCTAACCCTTCATCAGAGTTGTTTCTGAGTTCTGAGGGAATTGCTTTGGGGCGCTTTTCTGTAGCACCAGGTACTGAGCTTTTGGTGCTTTGAGTACGGTACTTCAAGGTGTTGGTTTTCCACTGGCATAAACACTGGTACCGGTGCCAAATGACATCACAACGCGAGGTGGCGTATTTTGTATTGAATGTGAAAAATGGCTGTAGTATGTTATAGGGCTGGATCATGTGCAATATTAATACCAACATTGCATGTTATGCACATCCAGTTCTTACATCGCTGGTCAGCTATATTAAAATAAGGCTTTTTCTTGCTTTCAATTCTGTACGGACATTATAGCGCACCAGGGGGTTAAGGTTTTGCTAAAATATTTTTTCTCTATTACTCTGTCATACGGGGAAAAAAAACTTTGCGTGCTTTGCAATTTTAATTATTCCTTTTATAGATTCTTATGTTTAAAAATCAGTTTAAAGGTTTCCTTTGCTGCTTTTGCATGATTGCTGCATACGTTTTCCGAGGCAATCGTAATGATTTTCCTCCTTGCCGTTTAAATCACTTGAAGAGAAATTTATGAACCCTTCTTTTATAAATACCGCAATATTTTTTACCACAAAATCACATCGCTAGGACCCCACGCTCTATGTGTGCTCTTAGTATATTCAACAAAATATTTTAAGTTTTTTTTTTCATGCCATCCGGAGCTTTTTGTTGTATATGTTCTTACGAGAATGGTTATGCAAATAGGCTGCCGCTGAAACACAATACAAATGCCACCTCGAAAAGAACCAATCTACCAAGAAAGCGTTTCAAGTCCCACCCCAAAGTACCAAAGAAGTGACCCCAGCTGGTTTGGCACTTGTAATACTGGAACTCAACCAGTAGTCAATGGATAAGCGAAAGTATCAAAAGTACCATACTTGGTGCAGTGGAAAAAGCGCCCTTTGTTTTGCCTTTTGGTTATTTTCTACTTGTCAGATGACCGATCCATCACTGCTCACAGTAGCTCGTCACACCTGATCTCAGATGCTTTTCAGCAGGCAGTCACTTCTCAACCTTGTTTTGATGGCCAGCAAATGTGTTCCCACCTCCAGGTTTCTGCAATGGTTTTCCCAGTGCGTCGGGCTGTCCTGTGGCGTAATGAAGGCCTGCACTGCAAACAGCATGCTGTAAGTCCAGGCTAGATGTCCTTGCCACTGTGCACACTGCTGCCTTATTGGGGAAACCTTCAGTACTACAAAAAGCCTATGGACTGACATTTATTATTATTATTTTTTTTTTTTTTTTTTTTTTTTTTTGCAAAAGCGAGCCTCGTGGAATAAATCCTGACCTTGTAGTCTAAAATTTCAGGCAAGGTACTGTTTTTAGGTTAATGCTTTTTGTCATGCTCTTGTAATTGTGCCCATATGGATTTTGTTGGTTTAAACTGGAGGCAATGGTTTTCTCCTGAGCTGAACATTTTTAAATTGTTGAACAGCTTGTGT